CCGCCGGAGCAAGCCGGTCAATGCCAAGGTGTTCCACTCTGTCCCTGCCGATCTCGTCGTCGATTTCTTCTTCTTCTTGCCGCCGCTGAGAGCCGGGGGATTCACCTCGAGGATCGACGGATTGTCCGGTTCGACGTGATCCGCGCGGTACTAATTCCCGGCCGGATCTCAGCGAAGACGCAAGAACACCCGAGTCGAAATTTTGACGCCACTTTCACACTCTTGAGGATAATTTACGCCTACTTAGAGCCTACTTAGAGATGGCCTTTAGACTAGCAAAAATCTACTTATACACTGACACTTGTTAACTTCTCTCTCTCTCTCTCTCTCTTTCTTAAACCTTTAATTCTATAGATTTAATTTTAATGCTGCCTTGAGACTACAAGTGCTCTTGATATTTTGATTATTAAATTCGTATGAATACTTAAAGTCGCCTACTTTGATGCTAAAAACAACGAAAACTTCATGAAATTTCATCAGACATCGTTATATAGTAAAATAGGAGTAATGATATAATTAGAATACAACTTGTTTTATCTTTTTAACTCCTATAAAATAAAATCTTATCCTCAATTGTTAATTACTTTCTTAAACCTTTGATTCTGCAGATTATATTTTAACGCTACTTTGATCATCCTATTTTGATGCTAAAACAACGAAACGGGAATTCAAGAATTCGGAAGAATTCGAGATATCGTTAAAATAGGAGTAAATTATATCATTAGGATTGAAATTACACTTAGTTTTTATCGTAGAATTAAAGATTTAACATAAAATTGCCGAAATTTCGACTCGGGTCAGTCCTCACGTATACGACGAGTAGAAAATGATCGGTGAGTGAGGAGCGTGTAGCGCGAGACGCGAGGCAACGAACGGACACGTTCGCAGCACGGTAATTTAATTCGCGAGTACTCGTGACGACTGCATTAATACAACCGACAAGTGCAATGCATACATCCGTCAAGTGTCTAGGTAACGCGGACAGCCCGGATCGGTCTTTGCACAAACGATAAAGACAGACCCCTTCGTATCTAACGCGCGACACTCCTCGCACTTCGCGCGTTCCAGCTTTCTCCCAGCTTTTAACAACGCTTACGCAAACGTGGCTCGCGAGGGGGAAAAAAGGGAAGAAGAATGAAAAAGCAGGAAAATACGAACAGTTCGTTTGAAAAATAATTTTCCGCGTGGCTAACGGGGCGGTAGCGCGAAACACGCGGTGTTAAGAATGAAGCGGCTGTAAATAGCTAACGGAGAGGACGATTGTGTTAGAAGTAAAGAGGAGGTCGTTATCGGCCGAGAGGCGTGTCGCGCAGGATACCGTTTAGAGTCAATCATCGATTTCCTGCATGCCAAGGTGTGCCCCACACGACTGGTTACCCCTCAAAGCAATTCTTCCTTCGTGCACGCGCGTGTGGAATCGTTATGCGAGCGACGCGCCGAAAGTCCCTCGACGCGCGCGCGCGCGCGTCGGGGAATTAATGCTGCTCAGCGAGCACAACGCTTGAAACAAAAAGGAAAGTAGTTGAAAGCGTAAACTCGATTGAATAACGGTAGATCCGCGGCCGGTCTTACGTGTTGTCCGTGCACGTACAGGCGACGTTGCGTTATGATATTCTCGTCGGCGAGTGGGCTCGGCCGACGACAACAGAAATCGATATTTTTCACCCGATTATATCCTCGAAAAAAAAAGTGAAAGAGGGAGAGAGAGAAAGAGGGGAGAGGGACAAAAATTACGCGATCGTATTTTCTATTGCGATGGAAATATCTCCCAGCCCGATGTGGCGACACGACCACGCACGTTGCAAATCGCTTTCTTCTTCAGTGCACCGAGAAAAAGATTTCTTGAATATTCATCGCATACAAATCTCATCATTGACATGCTCCGAAGAAGCTAATGTTTCGATTAATAAGTACGATTGTTGGACTTTTCAACGAATATGCATCTTTATCTTGAATAAAAAATTTGTTTGGAACGAAAAATAGTTTTCTTACAAAGAAATTATTCGTTTCATTTTACATATTTATTGTAGCTAAAATAATATTTTACTCGGTTAAAAGATTATTTCAAATAATAGCGGATTTTTTATTAAATAATCGAGTTTTCTTGAATGAGGTAATAAAATTTTTACTGAAACAAATAATATTTCTATGAAACAAATTTGAGTCAAATAAATAGAAATACTAAATCTAAAGAAACTTTTTCCTCTGTGTACAAAAGCTTTCCACTGATCTTTCCAGACCTGAGATATTTTTATTTGGAAACTTTGCAAACGCTATTTTCCTTTCGAAACTACCTTAAAATCCTTGGGAGAAATCATAGAAAAACATTTGGATTTATCATGTGTGGGTCCCAGAAACCCACTATCACGGCTGGGCACATAATATGTCACACGTAGGTAATGTCTGCAACGCACAGTTTCGTCATAATTTCGAGTCGTTCCTCACCTTGGAGAAATGATCTGAAATGTTCACGAAACGTCGGGAAGCAAATCCATGAAGGACGCGGCGCTAAGGCCTTGGAAGCCAAATTAAGTAATTATGACTAATCTGATTATCGTGATCGTGATGGTGGTGGCTTAAAGAGTTAGCGCAGTTCCATTCCTTAGATCCCTACCAGATTATGCATTAGAGATTGAGATTGAATTGAAATTTGGTCAATAAGAGCAAAGTTCACTAACTTGAGTTTAGGGAAATTTGCTTTGATCAAACTGCAATTCAATCTCAATCTTAATTCGTAGTTTGATATGACCTTTAGGCACAATGATATCGAAAATCAATCGGGCGCATTATGCCTGAATATTCGTGCATCATAACTATTGATTATTCGATGAATCGTGAACGATGCCCCGAAAGAACGACGCGAGAATATTCAGAAATGATGCGTCTTTTTTGAAATGTTCAATGCCTAAGGAATGGAACTGCGTTAACTACTGGATCTACAAATTCTAAAATTCAAAAGCGTTACTGTGACTTCTGGCAGCGCGAGAAACGCCTTTTGTCAAAAATGACGTTGCATTTTCTTGCTTAGAGCAGAAGGCTAAAGGCTTACTACATCTATTATAGATCCAGATTTAATAAGAGTTTTCTGTACGATCATTTGATCGACGAACAAACTGACATCCGATGTGGCGGACGAATCGAACGTTAGACGAGCGTTTTGCAAAGATATCTCGCAACCCCGACCTTTCACTCTCGCGGAACTGGTGTCTGGATGCCGTTTTATCGTTAACCGTGGGACGCCTTTGATGGACCGCATCCAAGGTCGGCACCCGTTAGGCGCGGGATATTAATAAGATCGGGAAATTGCATTCGCACGATCGTTCATTCGATCCGGCTTGTGCACGCCGGGATATCGAGTAAATGCAATTAATGACAAAGAGAAGGAAGAGAGAAAGAGAAGGAAGGAGAGAGAGAGAGAGAGAACAAAATTTATTACATGCTACGGCAAGCCCTCTAAGGACGAAGCAAGATACACGGTAGAGCCAAAAAGAAATAACAATACATTCCGCTGATTCTAAATTACATAAAAAAAAAAAATAATTATGCGAAGGCAAAAAGAAAATTAAAAATGAGAATGGAAGGCCCGCTTTTTAGAGAGTGGGTTAAAAAAATAACTTTAAGTTATATACGCTTGAGGAAAAGATTGAGCTATAAATTTATTAGTTTTCAACTCTCAAAACTGAACTGAATCTAAATTCAAAACTAAGTCCATATCTAAATCCAAATTAAACTCAGAACGATTCATAAATTCATATTTATGTGAAAGAAAGCGGACAAAAATAATTATACAATTTTTTTCCAAAAGAGAAAGAAAGAGAAAGAGAGAGAGAGAGAGAGAGAGAGAGAGAGAGAGAGAGAGAGAGAGAGAGAGAGAGAGAGAGGAGAAAGAGAGAGAAATAATTAGGAAAGCGGCTGTTTTCCGCGTGTTTCCAGCTGGAGAACTCGCGTGAGAGTGGTAATAATCATTATTGCGCCAGGTCTGCGTCCCGGTAACTAGTTTCCGACTTTTTCCGATTCGACGGCGCGAGCGAGATCGAGGCGATCTCCACCGGTTTCGCGAAATCTGCCGCTCGAGTAGCGTTTACTGGAGCAGGGTTTCGCGCTCGCTCCGGGCAAAACGTAACGGCACTTGCCGCAGCGGCCACCGCGGCTGTTGTCTTACATCACGCCTCGAAAAATCCTTCGACTTTCGTCTTGCGGAACAACCACGGGAGCGAGCGCGCGCACGAGACCGCCTCCACCTTGGCGACGTAAAACACACAGAGCCCTGGTCCCTGTTTCGCAATATCTCTCTCCTCCACAAAGCTATTACGTGCTAAACGCGCGGGTACGTAGGGACCTCGAGACGATTATCCCGAGTCCTCCTCCGACAAGCCCAACCGACGAAACTCTCCGAGCGACGGCAGTTCACCGTCAGATCCGGGCGGAGTTTAACGCTGTCGCCGATTCTCAAAATCACAATTTCAACCACGGGCGAAAAACCGTTCGCGTGCTCAGTGCGCGGAGAAAAGAAAGAATAAGCGGTTGAACTCGAGTCGAAATTTTAATCCTACATTGAGTTTAGTTAGTTATTGTACGATTAAATCTTCAAGTGGGGAAAACGGAAGTAACCTCCTCTTTGTGTTATCAAAGGAAGACGTTTGAAGACTTAATGTTGAACTGAAATTCCGATTCGGAAATCGGTGAAATTGGCGTCAGCATCTAAAAAAGAAAAAAAAAAATGTGCACTGAAAAACGAAGTTTAATCGGATCTACGTGACATTGGACACGTTGTTTGTTTCGGTTGGAGGAAGCAGAATTTCTGGTTGTAAGAATCAAATTTCATTCGTGAGAGAAATTTGGTTTCCTTCAACTCCAAAACGAAGTTTAGTTGCCCATTGTCGGGTGAATCCGAACGAAACTCGTTTTCCGGTGTGCCCATGCTGAAAACAAATTTTATTCGTTTGAGCGAAACTTCGTTGATTCCGTTTTTTTCTTCTCTCATTGCGGGCCTCGCCGAGCGAGCGAGCGAGCGGGGGAATCGCGTGAATTGCGCAGACAGGAAGCGGTGGCGCGAGGCGAAATGTAGTAGTATCGGCGTGATTTATGAGCACCGGCTCAACCACCGGTGCAAGAAGGTTTTGTTACCGGTTACCGATTGGTCAATCGCCCGCGGACAACAACGCGCGCGTACAGCCCGGCAAAAATGCACGCGACTCCTTCGCCGCGCGCGCGGAGTCACGTGAGTCTCTCGCCCTGAAGAAGCCGAGGAAGAAGGGAAACACAGAGAGCGAAGGCGAATCGAACCGGCTAGAAGTGAAAGGACCCGACGTGTCACGCTTACACGCGCATTTTCCGAGTTACGTGTCCTCGTGCGCGCGCGCGAGGACGGTCGCGCGTAAAACATCCTCGGTAATCAGCGACGCTAAAATAATGCCCGGAGCGCATCGGAGCGCCGATCTAATTACGATCGTTAATCGTACGAATCCTCCACGGTCCGCGACTTCCTCCTTTCCAGCGCGAGGCCGCCGTCATATCGCTCGCGCGCGCGCGCGTGCTCGCTCGCTCGCTCGCTCGCTACCGCCTGGAAATGGCTCCACCTTCCCCAACGAGCGTCCTTGGCGGAGCCGCTGCACCGAGAGAGGGTGATGAAAATCCCGCCAGTCACGTGTACCATGCCGGTTCGAGCGGTCGTGTCGCCGCGGTTCTGCCGGACCTGTCGCGCTCGCCGATCGAAATACCGAGCCGCTTAATCGCCGGATAATCGTCGCGCGTCCACCTCGCGGAACGCTAAACTCTCACTGACGCGAACCGAGGGGATCTCACGCCGACGTGACTTATCTTCCTTCGGCGCGAGATGCGCGTCGAGATCGCGCGCCGTTCGAAAACAATCGGTAATCGGTATTGTCCGTAAAATGCACGGAGATTTCGATAAGGCGGGGCGCTGATCGCTCGTGTGGGCAGTGTCGGTTTAAATGTCGGGAAGTGAGTATGCAAAGTCGTAGGACAGGCCGAGCGGAGTGAGAGAGCGTGTAACGAAGGGGGTATTATATCGATGCCGGGTATCGGACTCGTCGAAGGTGCGACGGAGAATACAGAAACGATTTCGTAAGAACTCCGTTGGCTGGAAACTCTGGTTGCGAGCGTTCGTCGAGGACACCGAGGGTGATTCCCTGAGTAGTCGCGACTTCGTTCGCGTAACTGAGTCATCCGTCGCCTAGGAAGAATAGGGACCAGACGGATAATTCGGTTGCAGGGAACAAGGAAGTTTCTAATCGGTCGATTGCCCTCAGCGTTATCTCGATCGAGTTTTAATACGGCTTAATGTTCAGACGAATGTTTCCGATCGCGGAGATATAATATGAATCTTCATTAATGGGAAAACTAGAGTCGAAATTTCGTTGCCGCCCCGACGTTCTCGGAGGACAGTTCGCGTCTATTTAAGTGGCTTATAGACTAGTAAGAAAACTTGCTTCGACAATGTTACACTTGTTAACTTCTCTCTCGAATTTTTAAATCTACAGACTTAATTTTAATGCTACTGCCTTGAAACTGAAAGTGCTCTCAATATTTCGATTATTACGTTCATAAATTAATTGCACATTAAAATGATTAGAAATTGACAATTGTTGTTGGAAATCAGAAATTAAGTTCAAAGATTAATTAGAAGCATCGATTACATTAATTTGGAAAATAATCGCAATCAAAGCAGCAATAAATGATATCATCAAAACTGGATCTCTATTTTGCTATTTCCCTTAGCTTCTACACGGCAAAAAATTTTGCGTCATAAACTTAAATTTTTGTGTTACTTTAACACGGGGAATATATTAAAAAAGTAATAAAATACACGAATATATTGAATTAACACATCTACCTTGTTGACACCATTTCTCAACATATTCACCCTGTTGAAATGAGATAAAAATCCGAGTGGATCGTTCGTAACGCAAAATTTTTTATCGTGTGGTATCCGCTGAGCCATACACAAACTGCGATTTTTTTCCCCCGCGGCAGTGATTGTGAAAAATCGGTGTGGGCTGAAGACCGCTGGGGAACATCTGAAAAGCCGCGTGCAGAGTCGTTCGGGATGAATCGCGCGGTGTATCGCTTGTGGGAATGTTAAGGACACGACTTCGATCACGTACCGGCGGTGTGTGTGCGTGCGTGTGTTGTGTGTATAATCGTGCTGCGTTGCATGTCTCATTGATATCTCGCGCGGATAAACGCGGAGTGCTTCTCCCGTCACGTAGCTCGAGCAGATAATTAAGTAGCTGTTTGACGCGGAGAAATCGAGCGCGCTCACGTAAAAGCGCCCCTTACGTCTGCATCCTCGGTATCACTTCGCTAGTGCTCTCGGAAGAAGCGGAAGAATCGTTGCATGCAAGACGGCAGTTTAATGACAGCGATTCAACAGCATACACCGACGGCATCCCTGGTAAACGATTGTCGTACCATTCCGGATGCGCGGAGAAAGGTACGATTTCGCGTCATTAGGAGAGATTTGAAAAATATGCTGGTATCATTGGATCTCTTTTTCCCCTCTTTTTTGACGATAATTATCGTCACTTTGAGTATCTTCGAAATACGAGAGTGAGACACATTTTTTTTCCGGCAGTTTGTATGAATACCCGAGTCGAAATTCTAGTTCTATATTAAGCCTAGTTAGTTCGTTTTATAAGGGGTGATTTCACTCCTTAAAACCATTGTTTGCCCCGATAATTTCTAAATTTATTTATTTACCTCACCTATGTGTATGTAAAGTTTCATTAAAATCACGAGAGCTACGATGTTGCTGATATAAATTTCATAAAAAGCTCTCGCTCTCTCTCTCTCTCTCTCTTATGTTATCCTACAGCGATTACAGGCGATTACGAGTCCGCGCGATTTTCGTTGCAAATGTATTACTCTCTCTTGCATAATATCGTTTATGTAAGTTTTTTTTAAATTTATATCGAGAGGGACGAGACTCGGCTGAACGATCGGCTGAACGTCGACGGTCATCGGGACGACGTGGGACGACGATGCGTCGTCGGCTGGCTGGCGGATAGGCGAGCGGGAAAGGAAGTCGCTTATTCTTTTTCCAGAAGAAACGCGGAGATAGGCAAAGTGCGACGTCCGTGAGTGTGTCGGAAGTGCGCGCGCTATCGTGTTGCTCGCGCTGGCGTTACTTCCGCGAACTTGCACAGGCCGCGTCGTGTTGCACAGCATGCACTCACGTACGACGCTAAATGCATCCGCGAGCATATGCACAGAAACCTACCTACCTACCTATCTACCTACCTGGAAACCGTTCGCGCCGGTTCGTTACTCAGTCGCGAATCATTACGAGTCGGCCAGTAGGTACACTCCAGTGACCCGTGAATGTTTGTCGACCGTTCACCGGCTTGTTCGCCAGGCCAGGGAAAGGCGTGGCAGCCCCCTTCGATATCTCGTATCATTGCGATCCGCGCTGTTAGAATCAACTTCGGCGAGATCTCGCGCGGATCAAGCCAAGCCGGAGGTGATCCGAATCGCGTGACGACGTTCCCCGATGAGACGCGTCTGAAGCGTCTCCCCGGGGTGTTCGCTTACTCGCAAAATTTCTCGGAGTGAAATATCACTCGAGACGCAGAACGGCCACCGAGTCACTCGGAATTCGCTCATACAGAGCGAATTCTCCATTTTTCGAATCGTCGAGTAAATATTTCCATCTCGAAATCGAAAAGTGAATCTGAGGGGCTGTTACGGTTACCCGGGGGGAGAAAAAAAAGAATTTATATTTATGTGAATGTGTTATAAATATCTGCCGAATATTTTTTCATTTTTTATATACTTTCTTCCCAGAGAGAGAGAGAGAGAGAGAGAGAGAAAACACAAGTAGGAAGATATAGAAAAATAAAGTAATACCGTAGAAAATAGTATTCGCATCGAAGGAGATTCCACTCCGAGAAATCTAGAGAGCACTTCCGTTGACATTGCTGTTGTAACACGGTTGTAAAACAGAAGGGATAGAAAACACGCCGGTGACACATTTCCGTTTCCCACAAGACCGCGAGTCGCGACGCCTCGGTGGAACACTTCGGCGGAGGAGCGGAGTAAACGTACGCACACTTCGCTCGTGACTCGGCGCTTAATCGTCGCTCCGCCTGCGCAATTAGAATCCTTGACATACGCTGGAAACCGCGCGCGCGCTACGTCTGCCCGCCGCGCCGACTGTGAATGTAATTCCGGTCATTGTGAACGACAACAAACTGCTTTACACCACCGCGCAACAAAGAGTCTTTTACTGACCTATTAAACGCGCAGGAATCATTTTTCACGGAGCGTGAAGAATAAAGCGCGCCGCGATTTAATTAACGCCCGGCTGGTACGCGTAATAAAGAAGGCGCACCTTCAAGGTGTACCCCGCGAGGCTGCACTTTCCCGTTGTACTCTTTGCGCGCGTGCGTGGGCGTGACACGAGCTCCGTGCCCCGTTAATGTTAAGAGGACGCACACGGGAGTGCGAAATATTGGGGGTATCCATAAGTAATGTCGCTCTTTTGATACTACAAAATTTTACCTTCAACATTTAGTCCCTTTCGAAATTTCACGATCAGCACACACTGAGTGCCGATAAATTTAATTGATATATATTAATATACAGATTTATGTGACAATAAATCACGAACAAGGTGGCCGCTGTTTACTCAATCCGAGAGAAACAGCATTACCCGGGTAATCCCCTGATATAATTCGGGGATGAAGAATGAGCGCTTTCTAATTGCAGATGACGCGTCTAATACTCGCGCGGAGGTTGCTGTGGGCTCTGACACTGATAACGATATGCGCGACGATCGCGGGATCGTCGAGGGAGAGGAGACACGTCGGCGGCGGCGGTACCGAGGGAGTATCTAGTCATCGGTCGTCGGGCAAGGCGTACGCGGAGAGCACGAAATCGTCGAGCGGGACGAACAACGAGATCACCGGGAGACCCGGAAGGAAAGTGTCCCACCACTTGATCGGGGGTCACCTGAAAGCCGAGGCGACGAGCCGGGGCGACGATGCCCAGTGGGACGACGGGATTCTCATGTCGGCGGCCGGGGGCAACGTCGGCAAGGAGGGGAAGAGCGGCCGCGCCGGTGACGACGAGGACGAGAAGAAAACGCTCTCCCAGCAGGTCAAGGAGGGCAAGTACGGCCTCATACAGAACGAGATTTACGGAGACCGGCCGAAGCGGCCCGGCATCATCAGCTACCTCGGCAATCCCGAGGTGCCGAAGGACACGGCCGACAATCTCGGCGGTCTTGACGAGGAGGAGATCTGGCTGGCCGAGAACCACGTGCTGGTGTTGAGGGGCGGGAAATTTCCCGACCACGAGGTCGCCGGCCCGCAAGGCAGCGGCGACGCGCAGTGGCCGCCGATCGACGATTACAAGGCGCCCTGCCGGCAGGTCAAGATCCCAGCGCGGCCAAGGGTACCGCCGCCCTTTCCGGTACAGCTCACCGAGGGTGGACCGATACAGATCATCGGGTCGAACGGCACCACCGATGTCAAGTACAACGGCACCTTCGACGATTACAGCACGGATCCGGTTTACACAAAGGGTCTGTTGCCGGGCGAGGGCCCGTTCTTCCCTCCGAACGGCACGATAACGAACCCCGCGGACTTCGGCCCGCCTAGGAACTTCTCCGTCGAGGAGAAGTCCTCCCGAGGCGGTAACCAGAGGAAACCGGAGGCCCAACCACCCGGCAGCTTCCCGCCGTTCTACCACGCGATACCGCCCGGCGCGGTGTTCGTGCCGCCGCCGGGCAACCAGTCGGACTACGACGAGGAGGATCAGTCGATCTACTATCCGCCGCCGTACAGCTTCTATTATCCGCGGGACAACACGACCGCTGTGCCGCCGGGTCCCTTGGTACCCGGCATCATACTGCCGCCGCCGCCGGACTTCTTCTCCGCGTTGGACGACAAGAAGACCACCACGAAGAAGTACACGAAGCGACCGACCACGACACCGGCCCCGAGGCCGCGGCCGACGTATCTGCCGCCGAGGAAGTTCGTCACGAAGCAGTACAAGGGCGCGTCGACCGTCCGGCCGACCTCCGTGAGCAAAACCACCGTTTCGTCCACGGTCACCGCGAAGACGTCCTTCGGCCGTGCGAAGAACGTCACGCACGGTTTCGCGCCCAGGAGGACCACCGGCACGCCGGTGACCGCAGAGACGACGACGACGACGGAAACGCCGAGGAAACCGGGCGTCTTCGAGAACACCGAGATCTACACGATCGGCCCCGTGAACGGCAACCAAGTGTCCGAGGCGACGACCCAGCAGAAGGACTGGTCCACTTTGGTGACCAGCAAGGCGATCCCGGTCCTGGCTTACTACCCGACGAGCACGCAGTCCTCGTTGGAGCGGCCGGTGGAGGTGACGCCGGCCTCCGTGAAGAGTATCGTCACGACCGGCCGGCCCGGTGCCGGCAGGTCCTCCGGCCGCGCGTCCTACTACTTCTATGCGGAGTCGAGCGAGGAGCCGGCCGTCACGTCGAAGCCGGTTTACTACGAGACCACCACGGAGTCGCCGTACCACAGAATCGAGGCGTCACCGAGGCGGACCGAGCCGAAGAAGCACTACTACACCGTCGAGACGATCGCGCCGGGCGACGACCCGAAGGACTACAAGACCAAGTTCACCGATGGCGGCGCGAAGAGCCCGCAGGCCTTCCGATACACCGACGACACGTCCGCCAAGTTCGACGTCAGCTCGCCCCGGCAGCGCATGCTGGCCGAGGAAGCGCCCGTGTACTACCAGCCGCAGACGAATCGTCCATCGGTGGAAGCGTACTATACGACCCCGAGGCCGTCGTACCACCGGCAAAGTCCGACGAAGCCCAAGCCGATCTACCAGTACAGCTTCCAGATAGCGGACTACTCGAAACGCGGGGGCCCGGATGGGTACGACAGCGGGGAGGAGCAGCAACGGCAACAAGGGCAGAACGCTGCAGCGTACAGCGAGTACCGAGGGTTCACCAAGAGCGGCGAGCGACAGTACGATTACGAGGACACGCAGCGCGGGCAGCCGGCGCGGAAGAACGCGCCGTACAAGGCGCAGCGTCCGGCGAGCGGCTACTCCCCGCTCGCGGAGACGACCGCCAACCCGCAGCACGCGTACTTCACGCAGCAGGACGAGAAACTGCTGGACGACGTGACGAAGGAGTACTTCACGATCTTCGGTAAGAAGCTACCGGGGGGGATCCCGAGCACCACGCCGATCTACAGCAAGTCCAGCGTCATCACCGAGAGGCCCGATGTGAGAGTCTACGTGCCGTCGTCGTCCGGCGTCTACAAGACGCCCAACGTCAACGTGCGCTACGGCAACTGGGAGCAGCAGCCCCAGTTCGGCCACTCCCTCAAGGACGACACCCAGGTGAACTACCGGAACCCGTTGCCGACGATCAACCCCGACGCCGAAATCATCGATGTGGCCGCGCCGAACCCTCGGCTGGCGCAGGCTTCCCCGTCGAGCTACGAACTGCAGGACTACCGGCTGCCCGGAAGGCGCGGGCCAACTCCTCGTTACAGGTTGCCGGGGACGACCCAGCTGAGCGACAGGCAGACCAACAACTTCGTGCCGCTGAGCGAGTCGCGCGAGGAACTCAAGGAGCTGCGAGGAGCACCGTTGTCGCTGCTGAGCGACATCGAGGTGAACTTCCGGGAACCGCGTCCACCTGTCAACCCCGACGCCGAATTCATCGAGCCCGTGTCGGCGCAGGGCGACCGTTCGGACAATCCGAACGCGTACTTCGCCTACCGGCTACCCGGCGACGTCGGCCACTTCTACTTCCTGACGCCGCAGGCGGTCACGCAGGACGGCGGATACGTCTACCCGAAGCCGCGGGAGCCGAGGTTACTCAGACGGAGGCGACGCCCCGGTGACGCCTGACGCGGCGTACCTCGTCCTAACGGCGGTCGCGTGATGCCATAATATATATCTTACGGATATTCAGCGTGCGAAGTAAACGCGCGTCGTCCCTGGTGTCGTCGACACGGCGCGCGTGTATTAACATATTTATTGTACTTGTAAATATGACACCGACTAAGTTAGATGATAATTATAGCTATACGTTGTTCCGAGAGAACGATGCTTCGTTTGGGAACCTGCCCCTTCCCCCCGCCCGCTCGCAGAGGAAACTCAGTTCCCGTGTCTGAAGAGGGACTCGCGTGGGAAATTTCCCGGGACCTACTTAGGATCTGCTTGTTCCGGTTCCCCGAAGTAATTGCGAATTCTAGTTGGAAAGACTGCACGGGTTAGAAGTGTAATGTTTCAGGTTAGAAGTGTGATGTTTCACATGGTTCTAAGTGGGAGTCGTGAACGGATCCTATTTGGCCACCTGCAACGTGCAAACCCAAAGATTTCCTCCGTCTTCCATTTTACATCACGATTGAACACAATATATGAGACACTTTAAGTATTTGCACTTTACGAAAAAAAAAAAAAAAAAAAAAAAAAAAAANATTATATATAAACATAGTACCATTAAAAATACAACCCCGTTTATTAACCTTCCGATCTCACATTTGGTCAAACTGTCTCCGGCGATGGAAAAAAGTTTCACCCCATGTTCGGGATAAGAATGGAACTGCCAATTGGTATTGTAGTGGGATAATCTATTTTGGGCTAACTTTTGGTATTTTAATCGGATATGCTGTAAAAACGGGAAAATTTCTACGTGGAAATCAGCTGAAAGCCCCGTGACAAGGAACGCTACCTCTGGGCAAATCGGCCGAATATTTAACCGGACGGCTGATCGACGGTTTCTCTATACACGCGCAGCGGATTCCCCGATGACGAAAATACCCGGTCCCCGAGACGCGTAAATGCGTACGTACATCGCGTGAAGGTACTTAAACGTTTTAAATAGCGGCCATAGCGCCTGAAATACCCGCGTCGCGGCTTTTAATGCGATATATCGAGCCGGTCGCCGCTTGACAGCCGGCGCGACTTGCGCGCTTTCATTCGCGCTCTCTCATCATTCCACGAATCGTCGCTTCCACGCTCGGTTGCCAATACGATCGAGATCGTAAATCGCACATATGAACCGCACGGAAGAAAAAACTCACTTCCTGCAACTGAATAGAGACCAAGTGGAAACAAGAAATGATGAGGAATATTTTCGTTACCGTGACTGACAACATTCGTGCGGATACTCAGCTGCTTTTAAACTCGATTGAGACAGCCAAGAGCAATTGACTGAGTAGAAACCTCCCGCAGGTATCTTCCTGCTCCTACGATCGAGTTTTCCCCTGGTCCTCTAGTCCGCGGGCAAAGGGAAATTCAGTCGCACAGTCACTAACCGAGTTGTTTCTTCCGCGCGGAAACGACCGAGTACTTTCGTATTCTCGCGTACACTACTCGCGATACGCGGTCATCCTGATCGCCCGTCACATGTTCGCGCATTGCCTGTGATTAATGACGGTATTACACGTGTACACACACACACACACACACACGTATGATGCAGTGCTACGATCGTTTGTCACGTACGCGCGCGCTCGGTAGATCACAGTACGTTAAGTGTCTCCTTGATACCCGTTCTATGTCGAACGAAGTGAAATAAAACTAAAAGGCGATATAACGAGGGAAATAATGATATGCTGTTTTGCAAGTCTGCTGCTAATGCAAGTCTATCCGCTTCGAAGTGAAGTTCAAAAGACTTTTCGTATGAATCAGAGAATAATATATATATCTACTCTAACATTATTAACTATCTGAATGATCCTCCATTTTTCTTCTGCAAATTATATCGTCTCGATAATGATACCCGTGATTTTCTCACAGTATTGTGTAAGATATCTTTCAGTCTCGAATCGAAATTTGGATTTCATATTATCGTCGATCTTGAAGGATCAATGAAGAATCGGTGTTTGAGGAATCATAATAATCAACGCTCTCAAAATATTTAGGACTTTAAGTAGTAAAATTATTAAATTATAACATTATAGAGTTATTGCAGATTAGTCATTAGTTAACGCTGCGTCCCCCCGATCGACTTGTATTTTTTCCAAGAGCTAGTTCCCAAGACGGAACACAGAACGCAGGACAGAACAACGGTCGGCTACGAGATTTACAATTCCTTCTTTTTCACCTCTTCTGAATCTCCAAATTTTATCGAAATTTCCAACGTCGATAAAAATAAATTTTGAAAGAAGAAAATTCATTATGTTTGATTTAGTCACTTACTATTCAAGCATGGAGGCTTAAAATGGACTATTCTATAATAGAATATTAAATAATTCTTAAACAAATTGTTCTTTAAACTTCGACAAAACGGTAGGTAGCCGCTGATAGCATCAAAAGACAACAGTCTGTATAATTTTATACCCTGAACTTCTCCACCGATCCTTCAAATTCCACGCAATACCCAAAGTTAATGGCACAACCAAAATTTCCACTCGGAAATGTTACACGAATATGCCAGTGACGATTACACAATTCACTAGAGATACATTATGTAATTGGAAAAATTTCTATACGTTTGTACGTTATTATTTTTAACATGAGAAGAGAGACAACCCATTTCTCCTTTTCCCATTGAGCAAAACGAACATTGTCGTCAAGATAATCGGAAGCGTAAAAATATCGAAAAAATAGCTACTCGAGCGTTGAAAGAAGAATACGAAATCTCGAGAAATAATCAGGAGAAGACTCACCGGTGTCGATTTCCTGCGTTTGCGCTGGATCCGGCAGAGGATAGTCGTGCAGCCGTAGATAGACCTCCACCGCGCATTGCGCTGCTTTGAAGTAAAATGGATGAGCTCGAAGAACGTCCTCTAACCTCAGAAGACCGACGTAAGATCGCAACGTCATCTTCCGCATGCAGTAGGTGTGAAAGTCAAATTGGTCCTCTATAATTTCCGAGAAATGCTGCGAACAATCGCGTCACGTTTACGACAGATCCCACAAAGTACTTCGAGCGCGCTCGACAAAATGCACGGTAAGATTTGAGTTTAGAGTCGGATGTGAGTTAAATCTAAAGCTGGGTGGTGTATATACTGAGCGAACAAGTAAGGAAAAAAACAGTGCAAATTTCTGTCGTTATAATTTGGAAGACGTGTTCGCTGTAACGAGAATTCGAGAACAGAACTAATTTACCTCGTAAGGTCGTATAGTTTCAAAAGCTCGGAAAAACCCCCGATATTTTTCCTATTATCCGCCAATTTCTGCCTCAAAGGTGAAGAAAAATTTGTTTAGAAAAAAATTCACGCCGTGTAGCGCCACAACTCACCCTGTCAACTTCGTGACACTTTTTTAAAGCCTCCCCGTACTTCCCAAGGCGCATGTAAGCGTAGGCTGCCTCCGTTTGGATCCACATGCACTGCATCTCGTTTAAATTCTCCATAGCTAAGACTCCCTCCCTCGTGAACTTTCCACACGTCTCTTCCGCCTCCTTAATAAGATTTGCGCGAAGCATATACTTGGCACATTTAGAGTTAATATATCGATCGGCTGTATCCAAGCCTTGCGCCTCATCCAGCCACTTGTAAGCTTCGTGGACGTTCCCCGCATGCTGTTGAGAATGCACGGAGATCCTTTTAGACTGTATATCCTTAGACCTTGTAGCGTTTCCTCGGGTGAAGTCCGTATCAATGATCGTCGCTTGAAACTCGTCTCAAATTGAGGCGATCGGATTTGAGCATAAAGTTGACTGCGAGTCAATTTGAAGGTTTGGTTATATACTGAGCAAACGAACGAGGAACGAACAGCGAATGCAGATTTTTATTGTCATAATTTGGAATGTGTGTTCGCTATGATGAATTTGAACAGAACGTTTCGCTCGTAAGGTCGTATAGTTTTGGAAGCTTGGAAAAAATTGACATTTTTCGCATTTTCCGCCGATTTTTTCGGTCTCTGTTCTTAGTTAAGAAAATTTGTTCAGGAACACTCGTGTGTGTTCGACTGAAATCTGCCACGTTTACTTTTTCCCGTAAAGAAAATAAGAAACTAAAATAAAAAATCGCGGAATAATTAGAAAAAATGCAGGTTTTTCCGAGCTTTTAAAATTATACAAGGTGGCTCACCAACCAAATAATGTTCGTTTGCTCGGTGTATATCCATCCTAAAGTTGGATCTACAATAGGTACGGTAAACTTCGGGTCTTTTGCGCTAAATTGTAACAAAAAATCTGAGTGCATCACACGAGACGAGTTGCAAGTGATGACCATTAATACGGGCCGCAAACAGTTTGTTGTAACAGATCGCGTGACGTAACGGGCGCGTTATTCGATATCCTACCTTGTAAATGCGTCCTTTGGTAACAAAAAGTTCTATAAGCGTAGGAGTGTGGTCTATGGCAGCGTCGATCTCGATCAATGCCTTTTCCGTATGACCGAGATAATCGTAATGTTGCGCTAAATAATAATACGTCCACAACAGAGCGGACGCCGGTTCTCTCGGATTATCCTTTTCCTCGTCGCTAAAGTGCCCGTGAAGTTTTAACGCCTCCTTGTATTGCACAAGTAGAGATGATATGATTTCAACTTTTTGCTTATCGGTGTACAACGAGCGAAGGTTCACGAATAACGGCGGTACACCTTTGTGAAGCCCTGAAACGAGCACAGGTTGAGCAATACGCCATACGTAGATAAATGAACGCGGAAACGTGTCGTTCATTCGCGAGCAATGTGTATGCCGGGTGAGAGATTACCTCTTCGTAAATATCGATCGACCAGGGTCTTGAATTCACTCCCTGTCGCATAATTGAGTTGCAAACGGCGCGGCGCTAACGCGCGGGGGAAGAGATCTTCGTATCTTTGGAGCATGTGCAACGTTTCGCTCGGCGAGGCGTGTTTCTCAGCCTCCGCTAGCCTAATGTAATACGTCGTGTTTTCCGGATTAATGTCTAACAGCTCCTTATACACCTGTTCCGCTTCCGCGTACTGCTTCAATTGAAGTCTCAGTTTACCTGAAGGGAAACGGGATTGCAGAGGATCGCTGGAGGCAAAATTCGGTGACACGAAGAAGTCGAATGAATCGTATCGCAAACTCACCATAGGTCTCTTTCACAGTGACTTTGTCACAGATTTGATCACTATACTTGTCTAAGTGTTTTAACGCCTGTTCGCTCTCCCCCGACTCCTGGATGACCATGTTCTGGTACAGCAGCAACTCGCTGTGTTCATAATCGTAACATATCTGCGCATTTTGTAAATTGCTCTGTTACATTACATCGATCGCATCTCCTATCGATGGATTAACTAAAACACGACATACATATAACGTACCATTGGAGAGTTCCGAAAGGTATCTAAAATTTTCAACGCCATCTCGTAGTCTCTCAACAAATGATATGAAATAGCGAAACCGATCCAAGAAGCTCGTTGAGTAGGACGTAACATGAACAACTGATATCTAGTATCCTGGGGGAAACAAACGACCGATTAATCAATACAGGATGTAGATCGAGGGAAAAAAAAGGGAAGCAGATTATAACCGCCGTACGTACGGCGTTACAATATTGCTCGTACACGAGAAAATAGGCGTACTAAACAAAGTAACTTACTCTCTGGGATATTTACCTTGTAGCCCTCCAGATCCCTCATCTGTATTTGTAGCAGCGACAGATCCCTGAGAATCTGGATATTATCCTTATCCCACTTGAGCGCGTTTCTGTAACATTTGATAGCCTCGTCGTACTTCTTGTCTGACCGCTGCAGGAGACCGTAAACGTGCCAGCAAACGTGGGACTGTAGGTCATTTCTGAGGCCACGCCGCACATGATCATAGGCTTCTTCTTTGCGGCCCAAGCAGTTCAGGGTAAGACCTTTCATCGCCAAGGTCTCTCCATGCTCGCTGAACTTGGGATTTGATAGGATCTGCTTCGCGAATTTTAGCCCATTCTTGTATTGTTTGTGTTCGTAACACCTCTATAAGAAACACCGTGGAAAATGCATATTAGCGAAGCGTGCGTAGGGGGTGTTCGGTGATCCTTATTCTAATTTTGGTAGGTTCTGTTTCGGCGTTTCGGCGAGATCGACGATACCGATTCCCGCCGGGGCGCCGCCGGCCGTGACGGTTTTTCCATCGTAACGTCAAGCACGGCGCCGCGCACCGCGGTCGCCAGTGACTTTTTCCCGTTTTTCCCGAAGAGTGCTTTATCATTAGAGCACGACGAGTGCACCCTATTAGCCGGAGAGTGAGGTCCAAAACAGAGTATTTTCATCGGTCGTTACTCACCAGGATTCGCTTAAACAAGGCATTTTCTTTGGGTGGCAACGGGTTGCTGGAGGGCATTTTTGTATAACTACAAAAATAGGGGGCCTTTTCCACCCGGTAAACTTAATTTTCCACCACAAAACCTCGTGGCCACAAACGAAGAAGTCGATCCTCGATCACGTGATCATCTGCGACAATGCTGTTCCGCCGGAAGTGCTGCTGCCACGGTACCGCACAATTCAATCGATCATTGCGCTCCACCGATCGATCTTCAACCCCGAGTTTCCCGAGTTTGTTCCTCGTTAAACGATTCTTCCTGTTAACACACGCGCATGATAAAAATAATAATAATTTCTTAACTGCTTATCTGGAATTTGATACAGCGGTGAAATAATTTTGCGTGTTCGCACAACGACGGACGGAGGCGATATTCATGTGAAACATTGGATTTTACGGTAAATCTTATCATTTTAGTCAGCTGTAAAGCAAAAGATTATTAAGTAACGATATAATTATACAACTTGGTCAACGAATGATAATCTCCAGTACTCCAAATAAGGCGCGACCGAAGCACTGTGCGACCTAAATCTGAAACAGCCAATAGTAGTGTCCACTAGTAGTAGTGACCAATAGTAGAAGACATTCAGCCTTTGATCTGTTCTTTTTAGCTGCGCTGCTAAACTGGTGCAATAAGAGAGCGAGACAAGTATATTTCGTAGCGAGCTAGTTAGTAGGTCTGTTCGTTTCCGCTGCACTGCTGAACTAGTGCAATAAGTTGAAGCGAGACAAGTATATGTTTTCTCACTTCAACTTATTGTACTAGTTCAGCGGTGCAGCGAAAACGAACAGACTTAGTATATACGGTGGTAGATTCTTGAAAAATACTATAATTTACTATAATTTCTAGTAACTTTTATATCCGGCCAACAGCTCTGTCCGAGATCCAGCATCATTACGTACGACGAGCATTGTCGAGTGTATTGATTGGCTGTTGAAGAAAATTTCAAGGGTCCCTAAATTTCTCTCTAGACGCACTAGAAAATCTCTATGTGACCGTCAATCGGCACGTCGGACAAACTCGTCGTACGACGCATGTAAAACGTGATCTGCAATGAGCAGTAGGAATACTTATGAGTAAGAAATTAACCAATCGTAGTCGATTATTCTCCTTACATTCGAATATGATTGGTCAATTTCTTATTCTTACTTCTTATGAACACACTCCTACTGCCGATTGTAGACTACGCTTAATATACCAACTTTGGGTGCGTTTTCCGTCCATAGATGTTACATGTCAATGCTTCTTCTGGTATGATTATATTTTTCAGTGCACAGAATAGATAGATGGATCAACATGTCAGCTGTTTACAACAAATTATGTTCTTTGCTATTGGAAGAACATTTTGGACCTATTGTACAGCGTGTTGGTACCGATTTGATTAATAATGGCGGGAGATCATTGCATTTGATACTGTCCACAGTAGATCTACCATCTGCAAAGGTATAGTAAACAATAAATGATGCGTAACCACATATTAGATGTTGTTTTTTTTTTATTACATACTATTATGACGCTTGTTCTTTTTATTTGTACTGATGTATTGAATTTTTGTTCATTTTCCTCCAACGCCACATCATATATCTGTTTCACTCTAAAGATAAATTCTGCAGTTTAGCTGAAAAGAACAGATCAGATAATATTGCTTGAAGTTTGCTGTTTATACGTGAATATTACATTTACGAGGAATATTATGTATATACCTGTATATGCAATATCTGTGAATAAACATTCCCCTACTTTAAAGAGTTGTTATTTACATATGTATTTTTTCTTTGTTATATTTAGGTAAAAGAAGGACTATATGTTCTTATTAAGTATGGCTTTGTCACTTATCATGTTGACCAAAAGACTACTTTATACACAATAGACTGCAAAAAAATTATTATGATTCTCCGCTATCCAAGGTATTTTTGTATATCATATAGAATAATCTACCAATACTAATTNTGGTGTAATTTATTGCTTAGTTTATATATTTATTTATTGTTTAGTATATATATCTATTGTGTGTATATACAATATTAATTGTAGGTATATGTTTCTTGTGAAAACTCACTGTGGAAATGATAGTGAAATCATGCTAGAGGAAGTCTTGAAGCATGGATATATCACAGCATCTGATATGATAATAAAGACGTACAAAAAAATTCAGGAATTACCTTGTAAGTATATAACCTGAAGACATAATATCGGTTTTAAATAAATTCGTTTTGATTATATTATTCTTTAAGTAAAATCATTTCTAAGTACATTTCTTAAGAATTATTTGTTACTGTACTGTAATAACATAATAATATACGCGTGAGATGCAAGTGCTTGTGTATTAATTGTTTATGTATTTCTTCAGCATCTCAAGAACCTTCTATTCCAAATTTAAAGGAAACATTTGAATTATTAGTTAAGAACCAATTTCTAATGCGTAGCCATTCCTTTGACACAATGCTGGAAGATACAAAGCCCGATTACAATTTACCGAATCTTAATTTGAGAGCCATTGCCAACTTATTACAAAATGAAAAGGGTGATCCTGGAGATAGCAAGATATATTGGAAAATCAATTTTGATCGATTTACTCAAGATCTTAGGTAAGAATCCTTAGTAATTCTTAATTATTCTCAAGAATATCCATAATACAATAAATTTTGACAAATTTTGACGTACGAACAAATTTTAATATCTTTGGAATAATTAAATATAGCTTACATATAGTTTTTTCGCATATTTGTTGACCAATGAAGAACTCATTTTATAATAATGTAATAATATTTGAGTTATATACAATGCATGTGTTTTCTATATGAGGACTTTGAAACGTGCTTCAGATTAATACGTATAATAGAAGTGAAAGATAGTATAATTGAGAAATGATTGCATTAAATATTTTATTGGCTAATAAAGTACTGAAAATGGATTTGATTGTGAATAATGGATTAGTCATACTTACTCATTCTGAAGATATTGAGATTTTGGGTATATCAAGAGTTAATATAATGATCATCATATATACGTAATGTGCAGGGACCAAGTTGTTACATCAGCCATAAGTCGGAGACTTGATACAAATGCTGGAGAACTAATGACGCAGTTGATCAATCTGATGTACTTGCGCACTGCACCTTGGGCAGACACGTCAAATCCAATTCCATATACGGAGATAAAGGATGCAGTGAAGAAATTGAATTATCCCGAACTGGAGCAATATCTCGAACAGTATTTGCATCTTATAGAAGAAGACAACAGTCAATTTATCATGCGAGTTGGTGATTCCGGCGGAGGACAATACAGTGTTAACATGAAGAATGCGTACAATCAATTAGCGTGGACAACTTTGGAAAATATTGTAACGGAGAAATACGGTAGCAAAGCTGCGAGAATTTTTCGGTAACGGTACAAGCGCTCGATTCTCAAAAAAAAAAAAAAAACAAATTACGCTTTATTATAAAATGAAAGTGTATCGTTTCACATGTAATCGTTCGTTTGTGACTTCAGATTGGTCCGAAATAAAACCTCTGTCGAATTGGAGCAAATCCAGCAGGGTGCAATGATGCCAGCGAAACAAGTTAAACTGTTAACGTATACTTTGGCACAAGAAAATTATATCCAGGTGCAAGAAATGAAAAGAAGCGGAGTTTCAGCGGGACCAATGAAGACATTCTTCATGTTTTATATCGATCTCAATCGAGTTGTTCAAATGCAAGTTGAGCACTGTTATCATGCCTTGTATAATATCATACAGAGACGAGACCATGAATCAACCAGTAACAAACGCATGATAGATAAACAATTGAGGGTTGAGATACTTACCAGTAACTTGAAAGAACACGGCGCTACAGAAGAACAATTAGCTGATGTAAGTTGATATATTTATATGAACTTTATATGTCACACGTAACTGCAACAGAAGCGAACCAAATGGTGACGATATGAAAATATTTTTGATAGATTGCAGAAATGATGACTCCGTCTGAGAAGCAACAGCTTGAAAAAGTGCAAAAGTCAATAAAGAAGCTAAGCGCCGCAGAACTGCTAATAGATGAAACCCTGTTTTTGTTACATATGTATCAGCGTTATCATTAATAACTAATAAATTAATTTATATTTTACATTAATAAAATAAATAACTTCTATATTAAATGTTTTCTTTTTTTTTTTTTTCAATAAGGTAAATGGATGCAAGACTGACACTCTTGCATTTATTTATTTATATAGATATTTATTTATGTGTAATAATGATTATGCTTGTAAAATACAAACAACAAAGAGTACCTAGCTTTCAAATTATTATAATAAATATAATCATATACATATGCGCACATATACATATACATACATACGTACATGAATATATGTATATATATGTTAATGTGTGCGTGTGTGTGTGTGTGTGTGTGTGTTTATATAATAGTGCTGTTCTCTATTGTGATACAGTGCATTTGATGTCTCTATCTACGAGGAAAAGTCATCTTGGATCATATTAAAAGAAATAAATAACCGTAATTTCCACGCCAATGTTCACATTCATATATTTCGACTTGAGCGATGACGGTATGTACTTTTTGTTGTAAAATGAAACATGAGTTAGGAAGAGAATTAGACACATGGTTCACAGCCAGCTGGTGGTGCGTTCTCAATAAGAGATTTCTATTTGGAGTTTTTCGATTGTATACTTAATAAAAATGTTCTTGTATTTTTTTCCCCCGATATGTGATATTTCGTAACAACGGTAAATGCAAGCGCTACATCTCTAGATGATTATATTGCACGACGCGCGTTCCGAAGTATGACTTTTCCTTTGCTCTACTATAATGCTTTTGTACGCTCATCTTAACACTGCCGTGATGAAAACGGACATTATCCCGTTGTGAGGATGCATATCAATAAATAAAATTCAAGGTAGCATCATGTAAGTAGTGATTTATCCATCATCCTAAATATATATGTATATATATTTTTTTGATTTTATGCTATTGATACCAACGGTGTATAATACGATCACGATACGAGTAGTGTTAAGATGATTGCGAGAATTTTATTTTACTCACATCTCTCTCTCTCTCTCTCTCTCTCTGACTGTTTTTATATTCTCTCTCTCTCACTCTCTCTCGCTCGCTCATTCTCTCTTTTTCTTGCCATTTGCAACGGTACTGCGCATACTATGTACACATTCTTGGTACGTACAAGTTTCATCTAGAAATAGTGTATACCTAAAACTAAGATTGAATTTCGGTAAAGCGTTATTTTATTATATATATATTTTTTTATACCATTAACAACAACGTACATGTAAATGAAGTGAATGCTTGGAATATTGAGAGTGGATGTTAGTGTGTTCACTTTTTTTTTATGTTAAATATACTATAATATTAGTAGCGTAATTCGATTTACAATTTACTATTCTTACAGTTTGCATTCGCATTGGTTGCATGTAAAGGCCAGTAAATATAATAATCTGTGTGCTGAGATTATATCGCGTATTAACGTTCGTGATATCCGAAAGTAAGGAGATCGCCACCACGGAGACATTAAATATCGTTGCTAATTTCAGCGATTATAAATAGGTGGAAATCGCAATCGATGGAATGCAGAACCGATTTTCATTAAAGCGGACACTACGAGAGTTAAGTGAAGGCCGATGAGATTTTGAAATGATAAACACGGATCGGATTTTATTATGTGCGCGATTTATATTATTAGATTAGATTAGGCGGTTTAATTTGGTAATTTTGCGAACATAAAAGTAATTAAATTTTTCAGTACGAATATGGCACAATAAAAAAAAAGTGCAAGATAGGCGGATCTTCTACTCGAAATATTTGACGTTTCTGTTAATTGCTATTATTTACGGCGAAGTGAAGAAAAGAGAATTCAGCTCTTTTATAACGTATCTCTGAAAGTCTAATTGGCGGCAAAGAATTGTGACTTGGAGAGAAATTTTCAAACATACAAAGTGCAACATGGGAATAGAGGATCTTGATGAATGTATAACTTTGACGTGTTGGCGCATGCGATATTCTGAAGTTACCACAATGATAAGCATGGCGACGAGAAACCGTGTCTGACGGAAAGGAAAGCTGCGTTGTACAGAATACGACGATTAAAATTTGGTGGGAGTATTCGAGTATAAACGATCAACGAACTTCTACTTGCCGTTCTTGTCTAAACTGGCACGTACAACCTTTTTTGCTACTAAAAATAATAAGGCTGATTACTTAAATAATAGTACTAAGTAGCAACGATGATAATAATAACTGTAATATTTATAATGATGATGACAATAATAATAATAATAATAATTAATATAATATAATAATAATAATAATAATAATAATGACGACGACGGTGTCGATAGTAATAATAATCATCGCCATCACAATAAAGACAATAATGACAATGAAAATAAGAATACGTGTCGCGTTTTAACATTGTTAATCTACATACCTCGAATAATTACATACATAACGTAGCTATGTAGATACATCACAATATAGTTACACTGTACATTAATAATATTGACGCTCGTGTCAGATCGCATGATCGATAATTATCCCCGACGTACATTGTACAAATCCATTATATACATAAAATAAATTATTATCAACATTAAGCTATCCTAATCTGACACCTATCGAGGCCCCAAAACGAAACAGGTGCAGATATATTGAGGATACTGGCTCTCTTTATAAAATTATATTAGGTACCGTGTATATATAATTGCACTGATTATAAATAACAAAAAAAAAAGAAAGAAAAAAAGAAAAGGAAAAGAGAAGTGGAAAAAAAAGAGGAGACGCAAAAATTCGTTTTTCACGTCGAGCCAACGAGGCGACTCGGAACTAGAGAGGCTTTGATCGACCCCCTGCCCGCGAAAACGCTATTTGGCACATAAGTATTATCACATCGAGCTCCAAATCATTATCATCGTTACACACACATCGCCGCTGATCCGATCGTCTCTCAGACTACGCTGCTGCTGCTGTTTCAACTACCGTTTACAACCGTCGTTGATTCGCCTCTCGTTACACATCGGTTTGCACGAGTTCGCACGAATATCTCCTCCGCATCGGCCCCCCCTCCTCTCCCTCTTGTATCTCTACGTATACGGCAAACCTCTCTTCGTTCGCGAACGTAATAATCCGACGAATAATGGAGAAACACAACGCGCCGTATCTACCGTTGTCGCATCGTATCCGCGGAAACAAACGCGCGGAAGGTGTGCTTTTGCGCGCCGGATCGATCGAGACCGCAACGCTGATCCTCTCCGCAACAACTTTCGTCGTGACGCGGGGTTTGACAGTGAGAATTTAAGGCGCAAGATTTAAGAAATCGACCAATCATAATTGACCTTTCTTCCGTAATTCGACTGTGATTGGTCAATTTTTTAAGGCTCGGAGCTTAAAGCATCTATCGTAGACCGGGACTAACGTTGTACTAACAGATCGACGTTCCGCGATAACGCTCCGTCCTGTCTTTCACCGCTCTCGTCACTCGGCCTCCCCCCCCCCCCCCCCCGCGAGTCAGTCGACTATTGCCTCGGCTACGCGCCGTGTGTATTACATTAGGATCAATAAATTAACGTTGAAAATACTATAAGTACTAAGCATTTTATAATATTACAAATTACGAAGATCGTCGCGTTCTCTCTCCCTCTCTATCTCTCTTTCTCTCTCTCACGCGCGTGCTTCTTCCTATATATGTATATATACGCGCGGGACGAGTCGCGCACGAGCGAGCGATCATCTTCTTTAACGTGTGTGATGGTTTTTTTCTTTCTTTTTCGTTTGGTTTTTCTCACTCTTCTTCCGACCGTAATTCGGCGCACCGAACGCAGTCGTTATATTACGTGTACGGTGGTGCACATTGGGCAACAGGCTGGCGGTCGTTTAGGTAGACAGGCAGGTGAGATTAGAACGCCACGTGCGCGTCCGGACGCGCGCGATCGTTGCGGCGGGCGGGGGATGCGCTGTTAGATGCCAGTTTCTCTCTCTCTCTCTCTCTCTCTTTACCTCTACCGTCTTTTTTCTTCGTTTATCTTTTTCTCCTCCTCCCCGTTCGACACGCCGCCGGGCGGAATGGCGCGTACCGAGTACGGAGACACGTACACACACACACACACTAGAAGGAATAGGAACAAGACTTTTTCTTTTTTTTTGGCCATGCATCGTGTCGCGCGCAACGTGGTTCAACGCGATGTCGTCGCTACGTGATGTATCGAAGTGTCCGATCGAGGGAATCGGAGTCACGCTAGTCGTCGCGAATCCGAGTGTCGGCGCGGTCCGATTTGCGATTGTCTTATATAAAAAGTCGTGCGAGTGGGCGCGAGTGCAGCCCTCGCTCCGCGACGGCTGGGAGGTGCGAGGTTCACCGGTGCGAGCGTCGTCGGCCGGTCCTCTCGTCGTGTCCCGTAACGCGCTCAGCTACACACCGTTGCGATCACACGCGCGTTTATCATTATCGCGCGTTCCTCGCGCGGGCCGCACTTTTGATTACGATTACGATGAGAAGGAAAGAAGCGCCGAGAGAGTTCCGCCGGCGTGGTGCGCCGCTCCGACGTCGCTCCGAGCGAAGGACGGCGATGGTGGTCATTCGTCTCTCCCGGACGATCGCTCGTGTCGCGAAGTCGGCCGGTCGGTTTCGGTCGAAAGTGGCGAGATGAGACTCGCGGGAACCGACCCCGTTGAAAATCTCCGGGTCGGTCGGGAAAATATGGGAATCCACGTGGGAAATTCAATATCCGTGCGGGTATCCACGTGGATCGTCACCTAAGACCTGGGTTCCCTGTATGGACTTCTTATGCGGATTCCCACCCGGGTTTCTTCAACGAGGGATTCGAATTCGGATGCAAGGACGAACGATCGGGGGTTTTCGCGCGAGGGAGAATTTGATCGCGCGGAGCGAGAGCACGACCGAGCGACGCCTCGGCGGACTCTCCGAGCAGACGGACGCGCTCCTTGACGTTTCGTGATGGCACAGAGAGACAGAACGTTTATATCACACAATCTCCGGCTCCGGAGAGACGGCGCGTCCTCCTCTCCGAGAGCAGTCCTCGGGCCTTTCGTCACGCTTTCGAGCGCGACTTTCCGCGCGCGCGCTTATCAGACGCCGCCGTTCGCTGCCTGTGACGCGGCTCCCGCGTGTCTCAGGAGACGCGCGTCACACCGAGACGGGCGATCATTCCGGTTACCAGAAGAGCTCGTGGGCGAGTCTCGACGTGGACGCCGCCGCGACGACCGTAGCGGCCGCGGCAGCCGCCGCTGCCGCGGCCGATGAGGATGACGAGGACGATGCTCCGGGCGGCCATAGCGGCTGACCCGGAGCCACGGTTCAATCCTCGTCGTGGTGCCGCGGACTCGCGTCGTAGCCGCCGATCGAGCCCGAGTTCTCCGGCGAGAAGTTCATCATGTCCGTGGGCGAGAGGCTGTCCTGCGGGTAGTAGAAGGACGGGTGGTCCGAGCTCGGGCCGGCGGCCCCGCTGCCGTTCAGCATCGTCGCCGGCGGCGAGACGGAGGGACGCGCCGACGGGCCGGCGCCGGTGCCCGGGTGATGCTGGGAGCCGAGGTCGGCGCCCACAGGCGACAGGAAGCCCATCTCCGGGCCGCCGTCCCGCACGCCGCACCACATCCGTATGTTGTTCTGCCGTCGCTGCCGCATCAGCGACTTGTACTCGGAGATGCGCATCTTCTTGCCGTCGACGATGCACGTGCGCTTCGGCCGCGGCCGGTACCTGTAGTCCGGGTGCTTCTCCATGTGCAGCTTCGACAGCCGCGACTGCTCCTCGTAATAAGGCTGCTTCTCCGAGTTCGACATGGCTTTCCATCGGGCGCCTGCGAACGAGCATGTGAGTGAGTGTCGGGAACCCGCTTCTCCCGGGGAAAGATCACGCGTGAAATTTGCCCGTGTGTAATCATGTGTCCGCAACAGGAAAATACTGTTATTTACAAATTATGGGAAAAATGCGGCCGAAGTAGATGCTTCTGGCTACTCGCGCCCCTGACAGCGCATGATAGCGACGTTTAATTAAGTGACATAATCGCATCATTTTTTTCCGTATAGGCATGTACGATCATATATGTAACCGCATATACGGGCAAAATTTATATGTGATTTTATATAATTATATGTAGTCATATATAACTTTTTTTTCCCGCATTCCTGAGCGTCACGCGTAATTCGGTAATTTAGACGCGATGAATCTTGGAAATTTTTTGTTTCTTTTTTCTTTTTTTTTTTTTAATAAACGTACAATTTTCACGGCTCGTGTGACTGAATTCTCCGTTGCCGCGGAACCAGATGAAGACTCAACTGTTGTCCCTGCGTTAAACCTTTAATTTTACAATACAATAAAGGAGCTAAGATAGCAAATTATAAGTCCAGTTCTAATGATATAATTTACTTCTGCTTTGACCATGTCTTAAATTTTCATTATCATTGTTTTTAGCATCAAAATAGGTTGTTTTGAATACTTATATAAATTTAACGATCGAAATATCGACAGAATTTGTAGTTTCAAGGTAGCGCTAAAATCAAATCTGTATAATCGAAGACCCAAAAAAGAGAGAAGTTAACGTGTAGTATCGTTAAAATAGGTTTTTACTAGTCTATAGGCCACCCAAGTAGGTGCAAATTATCCTAAAGGATATCAAAATTACATGAATAGGAATTCGATAGGAATAAAAAGATTCCTGTAGACAATTTCTACTCAATCATTCGTTCTCCACCGAGTTTTGATCCAGCCGAATATTCAGACGAATGTTTTCGATGACGGAGGTTTCGGGAACAGAGATATCATTTCTCGTCACCGAGTTTTCATCTGGTTCCACTCTCAGTCACATGAATTGAGATATTTTCCGTATATACGAACGAGTCGGCGGTATTATTTCACCGAGAAGAGAGTACAATCAGCGATTGAACGCCACTGGTTATATAAATGCGGATACGAAAGGTGATACGGATAAAGTATGCTTACCAAGAATTTTCGATATGTTCGAATTGTGCATGTCTGGGCAGGCTTTCAAGATCTTCCTACGTTCGTCCTTGGCCCACACCATGAATGCGTTCATAGGTCGCTTGATATGTGGTTTATTCTCACCCTCCCTTTTCTGCTGCCTCACCATTTTAGCTGAAGAGTATGCGCGCGCGCGCGAGAAAGAGAGAGAGAGAGAGAGAGAGGGAAAGAGAAAGAAAGAAGAGGCGTTAGATGTCACGTAGTCGCGATTCACGATACTCTCGTGAGAAGCGAATCTGATTTCGAGGGCGTCGCTTGGCGCTCTCAAAACAAGAGCGTAATATCAGCCTAATCGTTACTCATAGAACTGCTTACCTTTTTCCGTTATGTCCTCCGCTACTTTATATGCCGGGTCTCGCCACACTGCAATTTCAAAACCGAATCATATATACAAGATACGACGTGAATACCGGGACTGTACATCCTTTTTTACGAAAGAATGCGCAATTATTATATGTAATAGGCAACATGCACTTTACTCATATTATATCAGTATTCTTCTATAGGTAAATTCAAATTTACGTAAATAAGTTAATTAAATTAATCATCGACTCATTTCTCGTTTAAAAATTAAAACTTAAAAAATTTCAAAAATTTCTAAATTTGAGATTTAATTCAAATGAAATTCACGTATTTCAAGGTTGGAATTTCCTGATAGACTTTGTACAGTCCTTATTATTAGACGCACCTTAATTTTTCACATTTCATCGACTTCCGAGGATCAGCTTTATAATACCGGCTCATCTATCGGTCGAATTATGTTAAGGAACCATTATTCTATAAAAAGTATTTTTTGTGATGTCATTTCACTCGGCTGTTACAATAACCTTGAACAAATATGAACCCGCGCTAGTTGCATTGTTGATAATAACGAGAACATACGTGAGCTTTGAGTGTGTGTGTCAATTGAAATTTAATTTTGCTTATTTTTTATTTTCGCTTATTTGTGACTTCAGATTCTCCGCGGAGAAATGAATTTTCGCGCGAAAAATATTAATATCGCTTGCAAAAATTATGGATGAAACAAGTGATTTGACACCTCGGAAGCTTTTGCAGAGATAAAAGCGCTGATTGACACCGAAAATTATTCCAATCGTGTAAACATAAAATTAGTAGCCTTTCTTCTCCTCCTGTATTCAATTAAAGAATCAAAGTTCGTCTGATAATATGAGACTGTATATATTCGTGACCGTGAAGAGCAACTTCAAAAGTGGGGGGGGGGGGCAATTCCACCCTGCCCGGATCAAACGGG